CTTCTTATGGAGTGGTCCCTTCACCTGGATGTTTTTCAGCATGGGTGTTCTAGCCTGGGTATGCCTCATATCAATGTGATTGCAATCCATTGGAGTGCCAAACTTCCTTTCTTTTGGTCTTCTGTCCCTCACCCCTTACCTCTTGCGGTAGATGCATTTAGCCAGTATTGGAGGGGCCTTCATTTCTATGCTTACCCCTTCGATCAGACTCTTCTCCAGAGTTCTTTCTCTCATACAGACCACTCCTTGCCATTTGTTGCTAGTTGCTCTGTATTGGTCTGCTTAGTCATGGTTTCCTCTATTTTGGCCTTTACTGGAGCAGCAACCTCTTCCCTTACCTCCATCCAGATCTTTAATCCAGCAACTTTGATTGGACCTGTTTCATCCAGGCATCGTCAAACTCTGTCTTCGTGAGTGGCTTTTGTCCGGTCCATTGCCTCCTCTCCATCCATCCTTCCTCATTGTCCGTGTATCAGCATCCTTGGTTTACCTTTCACCAGTGGTCCATTTGCCAGGGATTCCGTCCTTCAGTTTCTCACTTGTCCAGGTTCTTTACCTGGTAATTTGATCAAGGTTTGTTTGTGTCCATTGTTTCTAGTTATCATGCTGCTCTGTCCCACACTTTCTGCTTCTTCCATTTTCATAGATCCTTCTCCTCCCCTGCTATTTCTGTTATTTTCCATTCCTATCGTATTTTTTATCTGCCTTGTCTGGATCTCTCAGTGTCGTTTTTTATGCCCTTGCCCATTCTCCTTTCAAACCTGTTGCTATGTGTTCTTTCTACCCTTAAGACCTATTTCCTTCTCCTTCTCACTAATGGTCATCATCATTCTGATATTTATGCTATTAATGTTTCCCGTAACTTTTACCATGCTTCTTATATTCTCCTTTATCCCGTTCATTCCTTCTTTCTCAAGACATCTGCTATTGGTGAAAGTTGTTTTGCTTCTCTCCTCTTTCCCTCCCTTCTATTTTCCATTTATACTCCCCTTCCATTCCCAATCATCTTCTTTGTCCTGTACATTCCCTTTTTCGTTTTATGTCTCGAACTGAATCCTTTCGGAGTTCCCGTTCTTGCCTTTTCATATAGTGGAATCCCTCTGTTTTCCGTGATCTTTCTCCTGTTACCCTTACTGGCTTGGTTTGGCAACTCATCCATCTAGCTTATTCTGACGTGTTGATGTAAGATTGTTGGCTGTTTAATGGGTCATTGCACCAGATTCGTCATGTTGGAAGAGATTGTACAAGCAGGAATGTGGACAATTCCCAGTATGTTTGTCACACATTATTTGCACGATCTCACTGTTTCCTCCTTGGTTGGATATTATTTTCCACCTGTGGTGATTTTTCCACACATCTGTTCACCTTTAACTGGGGTAACTTGAAATTTTGATTTCACTTATGAATTTTCCCTTTGTATTTCTGGATTCCACCTAGTGGCTGGTGTTACCTGGTCGGGTATGCTGTATCATTTTATAATCTTCTTTCTAATGCCCACTGTGGAGATGGGATGTTTCTGTAAGGCCACTGGATGCTTTTCTGGTGGTGTATATATAGATATATCTCCTGAGGACCATCACTCATGGACTTCCTGAGTAAAGCAAATAGAGATTTTTGCCCATCGCTACTGACTCGTGATTGTTGCAGTCCGGGTCTTTCTCCTTTTTAAAATAGGGAAACACAGATGCCCATTGCACTTTTCATACCTTCAGACCCTCAAATGTGTCTCTTTCTTCCCTCCCCCTTTCTTCTAGTGGAGCATAAGGGTCCTTGCCACTTCTGGTTCCTAGTTGCTGGAGTGGTGGACTATGGAAGTTTCCTAACAAGTGGGTTTTGTAGAATAACAAAATTTCATAGCCACATGTACTCACTCGATAAGAAGAGGGCTGTTATTATGCTGCCTATTATACACACATATGGCACTATGTTTATTATGCAAGGTGTTTTCTACCCAGATGGACTGCTCTTGACATAATCCAAAGTATACCAAGACATCTGCTATTGGTGAAAGTTGTTTTGCTTCTCTCCTCTTTCTTTCCCTTCTATTTTCCATTTATACTCCCCTTCCATTCCCGATCATCTTCTTTTTCCTGCACATTACCTTTTTCGTACATTCCCCTAGATGATTTTGCCCTGGCGGAAAGCATTTCTTTATTTCTTTATCATTACTATGCTGCATATTACACCTTCAATATGGCATGAAATCTCTTATGCAAGGCACTTCCTCTGGGTGTTTTTGCCCAGATGGGCCACATTTTACATAATCCAATGTAAACCAAGGGGCTTCACTTGGATATTTTTGCCTGGGTGGACCTCACTTGCCTATTTTGTTCTAAATCCAATGCTTTTCCCCCCTGGATGTTTTTGTCCAGGCAGACCGTACCAGGCCTATTCATATATGGTTCTCTTAGCCCTAGCCACATATTTTCTTCATTTCTGCCCTACTGTCTTCTTTACTGGGTGAAAAGCATACTTGTTCCAGAAGTGTGCCTTGCGTTTTAAGTGGCATACCTGCTTTTTTTTTCATAGCGGTCGCTCTCCACTTGATTATTTGTTTTTGTCCCTTCACCAGCCCCTCCACCTTTCCAATGTGGGATTTTAGCTATGGGGAGAAGAGGTGGTACCATTTCAGAAGTTAACATTTTCTAACACTGAAAACACACTCGCTCTTCCTCCCCACTGATTTGCCGGTGTTTTCAGATTTGTATATGCCAATTCTACAAAGTGAGGATTGTGCTACAATAGTAGAGGGAGTTACCTGCACTAGTATAGGGGGCACAATGGGATTGGTGGAGGGTGGTCACATGATTTAGCATATGTTGCTGCAATGATGCAAAAAATATAGGGGTATAAAAAATTGGTGCACTGTTCATAAGATTTACCAATGCCTAGAGGGCAAATGAAGGTCGAGATAGCTATGGGGAGAGGAGGTAAATAGCTATCAGAAAATACATTTTCATTGTTAAAAAATGTTAACTTCCCTCCAACAACTTATCAGTGTGTAATTTCTCGCTCTCAGTTCTGTGAATGGGTGAATAGCATTTCTGAATTTAATATTTTCCCTTCCTGAAATTGTATTTCAGATAGATACCTCTCTCCACAAAACCATCTACCCTTCCACCCAACTTCCTGTGTGTCTGTTTTGGCTCATCAATAATAACCCTTAGGTATACTCATTGTGCTCAAGGGGAGTACCACGCATGGAGAATATGCTACCCTCCTATTGGTGGAGGGCTATAGTTGAATGCAGATTGTATCATAGGTTGGCACAATACATGTTACTACAGGTAGGTATGGGAGTTTTGTTCAAATGCTTGACATTTGTACAAAATCTTTTTCATCAATGGCTCGAGGTAATAGCTGTCAGTTTTGATGAGAAGTGAGTACGTATCTGAAATACATTTTCAAGTAAGGTCAATGTTACCATTAATGAAAACTTATCCCTTTAAAATTGTTTTTTATTGTATTATGAAATAATGTCTTTAGGAATATTGTATGTATATTCAATGTATATTCAAGAAATAAGGAAACTTGTGAAGATTGTGGAAAGTTTTACATTAGTTTTAGCATATAGCCAGTTTTAGTTTCATAATGCATAGTGAATTGAATTTATTAAACTTTAATACAAGATTAATTTCGATAGATTTAAAGAACATTAATGAGTTAAGAATTAATTATACATTTGGAAAATTTGTTTACAAGTGTTTGTTTTTTCATATGGACCAAATGTCAAATATTTATGAATCCTTCGTAGTGAAATTATCAGTTGAAATGTTTAATATATTTTTTATTATTATTTGAAAATCATTATATCAGTATATTTTTAAAATCTTTATAGGATTGAGGTCATTATAGGAAATTATGAGGAAAGAAAATACTGTCACAGTTTTTTCTAATTCTAAATAGCCAGCAAATATTGGTGCCACTGCAAAAAATAATTGCTATCAAGGTTTGAAACTAACTTTTCTTGCTGCTGAATCTTTTCTAATTACTTTAAAATTTACTCATTGGAGTTTCAGAAATACTGACAGAACAAAAAGTGAAACACGTGGTTCATGAGTTGCTTGTGCTTAGTGGGTATAATTAATGAGCTGATGTGAATTCCAGGAAGTGTTTATCTTCTACTGTTGTATAAAATTTTAGATCTATGTTTAGGATGATAATCGTATTTCCTAATATGAAATGAAAAAAGGGCATAATAAAAAAACTCTGAAATGCCTTTGAACATGCTGTTTTTACTTGCTATTTTAAACTTGAGGATTGATACTTGAATGAAAACAATGCACAACAAGGTATCATAAAAGGGTTATCAATTAACCATCATAGTGTTGTTTTTCCATATATGTTCTTATTGCCATATTATTTTTATTTAATTGTGAACATTGTTATTATTCAAAACTAATAATGTAAGTATGTACATTCACTTCCTTATATGTTTTAGGTTAATTTGACAACAATTAGTTAAAATTCGTAAACACAAAGATATACAACTCCTCTGGTGGTTCAGTAGTAAGGTTAACTGATGAGGGCTTATAATGCTAGAATTTTGAGTTTCTTCCCAGTAGTGGACATAGCACTGATAGTCTTTGTGCTAAGACAAAAGCAAATAATATACATACAGTTATGTGAAATCTAGTATATGTGGTATGTGTATGAATGTATACATGTGTATTTTAATGCTTTACTAGCTGCAATTTGGATTTATGTATTCAAATTTCAAAACACCTATATAATTTAAAAAGTAGTAGTATTGTTTCATTTGTCAAAAATCTTCCAAACAAAAACCACATTTGTGTTTTTTACTTTCACTCACAACAGTTTACCAAAGAGGAAAACTGTGATGTTGTGTAAATAGTAAAATACATGGCATGTAAGTATTAGAAATATGAAGTGTTCCCTCTAAATCTGGATTATATACTTTGATATTTATGTTACATGCCACTATTATTAGTTCATAGTAAATACACAAGAATTGTATGGTATACATTTTTTTTTTTCAGAATATAAGAAAAAAATTATCAAGTTCCCACTCTCAGAATTCTAGGCCAGTGCAGCGAAAAGTGTCTTATACCACTGTTGGGGATGACAGTGTGTTTTTCAGAGATGAACCTGAGATTTCAAGATCAAGGGTAAAAATTTCTTAATTCAAAACTAGAGTTTTATTATGTTTCTAATACATTATTGTTGGTAGCTATATGCTTTTAATACCAAAATCCAATAAACATCATTACTACTGGTATGTATAGTATGTTATATTTTCAGATTTATGTAACATAGCTGACATACAAAGTTGTTATGAGTGAGAAGTGATTTTCTTTAGATATTTTCTTTTGTTATTTAGCACAAAAATGCATTAAAATTCACTATTTGATGGTGTTGTTCATCAGACATTAGTGAACTTCACAACTCATAACTAAAATTCTTTATCTGATTGTTATTTATTCAACATTAGTGAATTTGACAATGGTCTCTTAGTGCTAAAATTCAGGGTGAGATTTCTCGACGGTAGATATAGCACAAATATTCTTGTGTAGCTTGCGCTAAAAAACAACAACTTTACAACCTATGACAAAAATTCACTGCTGAACAGTGTTGTTCATCAAACAGTAACTTGGAGAACCCATAATGAAAATTCACGACTTAAAAGTATTGTTAATCAAGCTGTAGTGAACTTGACAACCTATGACAAAATTCACTACTTAACAGTGTTATTCATCAAAACAGAAGTCAGCTTGAAAACCCATAATTGAAATTCATTACTTGATAACCCATGTCTAAAAATCACTACTTAACAGTGTTGTTCATCGGAACAGTAGTCAACTCTGTATTACTCCCCACAATTAACCAAGCTGTTTGGTCATCTTTTGACTTTCTACCTATACATGAATGTTTATGTCTCTTTTTGTAAAAGGGCAATAATAGGACTGTATTCTATACATGTCCTACAAGTATCAACATATAGCGGAAGCATAACTATAGTTAACTTATAGTGGGTTAGCTGTAAATAATAGTTGTATGGAACTCTGCAAATATTTCATACCAAGTTTATTTAGGCAATTATATTGAATTCCATATGTTGAATGCAAATTTCTTTGCCTCTGTATGTATGCATATATTATTCTAGATAAAATGATAATTTTGATAAATGTTTACAAGTAAACTCCTACTGAAACATTAAAAATTTTTTATTTCAGATTTAAACTTGTTATACAACTAGAAAAGTACACTCCACTTTAAAAATTTTGACTCTATCTGTAGTTTACTAATTAAGTGATAAATCAATCATTTTAAATCATTTTGTTTTTTACAATACATGAACTAGAAAGGTATCACTAAGCATGGTAGTGCTTAGTATATAGGGATGGGCCAGGAATAAAATGGGCATTGCATATTATGTATTGCTTATCATAGTCTCAAGTTTCTCTTACAACAATCTAAGAGACTTTTATACACACCTAACTTAGGTTTTCAAAAGCTATTAAGACCTTCAGTTTAACCAAAGAACATCGCTAAAGTAGAGAACCAGCGAGTAACATAACAACCAAATGTTCTGCTGATTGTTCTGATTCTGGCATCAGAAGGGTTAGCTCACCAATGTTTGAAGTTGTTGCCATGATTTAAACACCAAAATGCTGCATTTTAACTTGGATAGTGCAGAAGCAGTATAGCGTTTCATTAACTTCAACACTTGATATCCATCAAGACAACTCGTCATGGCAGGCTAAACTGCTGCCTTCATAACAACTGCCATTTATTAAAAAAAGAGGGGAAACAAGTAATAAAAAAAATCTTAAAAATAAGAATGACATACAGATGGCAATACCAAAAAGTACAGAAACAAGGTAGGGATGAGTATACAAAACCATGCAAAAATCCCTACATAAGTAGCCACTGAGTCAATGTTACAAGTGTATGGGAATTAGCCATTGTAAGACTTAATAGCAGTTTAAATGCTTTTATTGAAACCTGAATTCATGCAAATGAAAGGAATTCAACATTTAGTTGTAGGTAAAAGTTTTTCTTTGAATTATTTGGCTACTTATGTAGGGATTTTTATATGGTCTTGCGTATTCATCCCTATTTTGTTTCTGTACTTTTTGGCATTGCCATCCCTACATCATCCTTATGGTTTTTTTCAAAATCTTTTTTATTACTTGTTGAAATTTAGTTCAGGTCAATCCCCCTAAGTGTGAAGAATCTATAATCACCTGATGTTACTCAGTAGTAAAGAATGTTCTACTTATGCAGCAACAATACACAGAAGTATTTCAATTTCATTTATGGCAGATCTTCAACTCTTCATCTAGTATTATTGGAATTATTATTAATATAATTGTTTCAGAGGAGTTTGTGTGAAATGATGAAATTATAT